TTCAGCGATGGGGACTCGAACCCCACATGTGTAGAACTCATGTTGAACTACCTCAGCGGTGACCACTTCGTGCCACATGGGTAGCACTCCTAACGGACTACCTCAGAGGTGACCGCTTCGTGTCACATGGGTAGAGCAAATTTAATGACCAAGTGCACCCCTACTCAACGGCAACAAGGTGGGTATGACAACCAAATAGCGTTATCCACAAGAATCATAGTCTCGAAAGAGTTAATAGTAGTGTAAACAGGGACTTTACTCAACATATCAATAGTGTGTACAATTTACAAGCTCATAACAAGATTCATATAACGATATAAATCTATCAGACGATTTCAATCATGCTTTTCACCCCAAAATAAGAAATTAGTAAAAAGGGGCCGTGAAACTCACCTTTCGATATAGAGCTTTGTAAGATAAAGCAATGCGATCCGAATACCGTGCTAAATCAACGGTTCCTTATCAATAGGAATAACCAAAATCATCACTTATTGATTCATCTCTWCCTATGGGGTTTAATAAAGCCTAAGTCCATATTTGTCCACTTTTGTTCCAAAATATTATCCATAGTCCAAATATACCTAATGTCCATATGCTCATTAAAGAGTTTATGTATACCGGAAATGATGCTATAATCCAATAGAAGATCAATTTTACAAAATTTATCCAACTCCAGAATTTCAGATTCTGGACAGAAACTTAAGTTACAAAAGATGATCCAATAAAGAGACTTCAAGAATGAGATAAATTCCCATCTTTTTATATGGTTTATAGTACTGAGTTATAGCCATCGTGACCAAATTTCATGAATATTGGGTAAGATATGATGCTTCAAATAATTCATTCAATGCAACTTATCACAGCTGAAATGGCAGATTGCACCATGTTAGTAAAACACTCATACAAATAGTTCTACTTGGTGTTCTGCAAAGATTCAAGTTGTATTGGAAACCTAACACTTATACGAAACTTTTAAACTAAGAATCACTCATTTTTTATCAGTTGAGAGGAAGATATGACACCTTAAAGTCACATACACACATCTGCCATCAATTGACAGATTGCACACCTAACTTATAAAAATCGGTTCGTGCCTCAAAACATTGTATTTTTGAGTGATACTGGATTCAAATGAATCCTAACTCAATAAAGAAAGTTTTAGAAGAAGAATAATACATTAAGGAAAAACAATAAAAAAGATAATAGCATACAAATTAGAAGTTACCTACTGGTGGTTTCACAGTTTACACACCTATAGAGTTTTAGGTGCTTGGAGTTCAAAACTCCATAGTTTTATGTGATTCCACTTGCATGTAGAAGACAACCCATAAAATTAACTCTCAAAAGAAGAATCATTCTTTTTCATTGAGTTATGAGAGAGATATGGTCGATGGAACATATATATACAAATCTGTCAGAATCGGATAGATTGCATGTTCAT